TCAAGAGGCAGTTGTTCTACACTGAATGGTTTAAAATCAGGAAAGGTGTGTGCCAGAGTTGTATTATTTCACCATACTTATTCAATTTGTATGATGAGCTAATAATCCAAGAAGCTGGATTATATGAAAGAGAACGTGGCATCAGGATCAGAGGAAGACTCATTAACAACCTTTGATATGCAGATGATACAACCTTGCTTGCTGAAAGGGAAGAGGACTTAAAATATTTGCTTATGAAGATAAAAAAACCACAACCTTCAGCATGGATTGCACCTCAATGTAAAGGAAAAAAAAAATCCTCACCACTGGACCAACAAATGACATCATGATATATGAAGAAAAGATTGGAATTGTCAAAGACTTCATTTGGCTTGGATCCACTATCAACACTCATGGAAGCAGCAGTCGAGAAATCAAATGACATATTGCATTAGGCATATCTGCTGCACAAGACTTCTTTAAGTGTTTAAGAGCCAGTACGTCCGTTTAAGGAGTAAGGTTTACCTGAACCAAGACATGGTATTTCCAGTAGCCTCATATGCATGAGAAAATTGGACTGTAAATAAAGAAGACATTTGAATTATGGTGTTATAGAAGAATATTGAGAGTACCATGGACTGACAGAAGAACAAACAACTCTGTGTTGGAAGAAGCACAGCCAGAATGCTCCTAGAAGCCAGGATGGCGAGACTTTGCCTCTATTACTTCAGACATAGTATCAGAAAGGACCAGTCCCTGGAGAAGGACGTCATGCTTGGTAAAGTGGAAGGTCAGCAAAAAAGAGGTAGACCTCCAACAAGTTGGATTGGCACAGTGGCAACAGCAGTGGACTTAAGAAGAACAATGATTGTGAGGATGGCTTAGAACCTAACAGTATTTTGTTCTGTTGTGCATAAGGTTGCTATGAGTCAGATATGACTTGACAGCACCTAACAACAACAAGCTTTGCAGTCATGTCGTCTCACTTCTGATACATCGTATTCATTAGAAGTAAGTTCACAAGTGTGGTGCTCATTCCAGGGGAGAGTCTTCTCATTTGATGAGAGAATTGTCAAAGAATTTGTGGACATACTTTAAAACCACCATATCTAGTAGGAGTTGAAACCACAATCAAACCCAAGGCTCATGACCAGAAAGCCCCACTAGACCTTGGGTGAACATGTTCAGACACTGCTCTTAGACTTGGTGAGGTAAATTCACAGAATTGTTCCAGACAACTCTCAATTGTTCAGTGGCTGAGAAGTACAATTCTTGCTTATTTAACGCTACATCTCTTTTTCTACCTTTTCTCTTTTACTGATTTTCTGCTGATAAGTCTTTTATGATTTATTGTTGTTGTTGTTGTTAGGTGCCATTGAGTTGACACTAACTCATAAAGACTTTATACACAGCAGAACGAAACAATGTCCAATCCTGGTCCAACCTCACTACTGTTGCCACACTTGAGT